CTTGATCAGCATAGAAGAGTCCAGCAACAAGTACTGTGTAGATCAGATGCCCGTTAGGTTTATTTGGGGGTAGCCATTTTACTAGAATTCCTCTGGATCCATTAATGGTGGCAAACATTTCAACTGTACCTTCTGGTGCAGCTTCTGCTGTACGAGCCTCTACCTGCAAATTTAACCGTAAGATAGAGATGTGCTTCTGTAGCCTGTACACACATGAGGAAACATGTTATACAACAGTTTAAGATATGTTTATTTGATTTAAAACATATATTATTAATGAACATTGCACACTGGTGTATTTTCTTTAAAAGTATTTTCCTCTCTCCTTACCCTCACCCCAACATTTACTTACAAACTGTCTACTAATTCAAATATTTTATGAGAATATTTGTTCATAGGATTGGATCTAAAGCTAGAAAATGGAGAAGAATTAAGTACTCCAAGACTCAAACCCTGAAAATGTAGTAGCATCTGAATCTATTGCCTGATTCTTGCTCAGCAATCCAGAGAAAGAATAGTAGAAGGAAAGTGGATGTGGAAGGGAAATGGAAGAAATTTAAGATCCCTTAAACTTACTAAGGTTAAAAGACAAGTTTAATATAAAAATGAGCATAGGTCCCCTTTGTATATTACTATAGTCACTTGACAAAAGAAGAATATCCTTGGTCAAGTTTGGCTTATACCCTGAGGTGCAGTTCCTGGAAGATCTAAGACATGGTGAAAAGTAAGCCTTTGAGGGTAAACTGAAAGATGACAAAACTGCTAGCAAGGGCAATAAGGACAAGCATCTTAATCTTAGGGCTTTATTTTCTAAACAAGTGAAAAATTCATAATTATAGTGGAATTTGGTTTTTACTAAGCATAACTTATAGCCATGATTCAAAGTTATGGATCAAAATTTAAGGTCCAAAATGTATTACTTATGATGGTAAGCTTGTATCTCACCAATAATTTATATGGTGTTTTCTAAGGTAGGAAAGAAGTGACATCTTTTCCATGTCTCTCAGCTTTATATAAAGAGTATTACAGTTTGTGGGAGTTCCACTTAGGGCTAGTTTTAATCTATTATACCTTCTACAGCATCAAAATGTCAAGGGGTATTCTCTGTCTTTTCAAGATGGAGATTGTATATTTTATGCCTGATTTGGGAAGTTAATTATTCTGAGGATTTATTTTACAGATGTAATTGTCTTTCATGCACAATGTATACTAGACATCCATAATTCAGCACAGCACTCAAAGTACAAGATTAACTTTAAAGCAGCTGAATATTCCAACTGAAGTCAAAAGGATTACTTATACACGTAAAGGCCACATCTACACGAGATGCTGATTGCACGGTAGCTTGTTACTACTATATGGTAGAGTCACGTGGCACAAAGCATGACATGATGCTACTGCATAGTAGGAACAAGCTACTGCACAGTCCCATCACTTTAAAGCTGTTCGACAATGCTACTGTGCAGTAGCTCCAGTCACTGCACAGTCATTTAGTACTTGTGTATGCAAGTGCCTTCTGGATCATGGCCAGAATGATTTGCATCCTGCAATCAAAGATCAAACTTTATGACAGTGTTACACTATTTTATACTTCCTACTCTGTCAGACCTTCCCTCTGAGGTACTGAGTGCCTAATATAAGTTGCTGTTTACCCTCAATACCTCCAAATATTAGAAAGGAACTAAATGTCTTGGTTCTCAGATTAATGACCAAGGGAATGATACCTTCAATACTACATAAGTACTAACTATTTATTACCTTATTTCTGTCTTATAATATGTAGCCATGACTGTAAGAAGCAAGCATTTCTAGGAGATCATTTTCATTAAATAAGGTACTGTAATTATTTTAATATAAAAAAGCACTGAGCAATTCCTAGTATTTTGCTTATATGGAGTAATCGTCACAAAATACTAAAACTCTTGAATCTTACACTGATCATACTTTATATCTCTGACTGATTTTTAAGGGAAAAATTGTGTTGAAATAAGTCTTGTTCATCACTTATTACAGTTTTCACCTTTTAGGATATTATGTATGAAATACTACTGCTACTACTACTATAAAAATATTGGTTAGAAACTGTATGTAATATAACTGTATTTGGGCAATGTATATTCAATAGTAATTTTGTTTCAAGTCTAAGCATTCTACAAGTATATATTGTGCAAAAGAGGAAATTTTGAGTTTCCTATGCTGTACATTCCCCTATATTTAACTCTTCTCATATTTCTAGATGTGTTGCAATAATTTAAAAAGTAACAAAAACACTTGACAACCATATGAATTAAAAATCCTAAGATAATCATAGTTAAAATAACAATAATTATACCATATTAGTCTGTTTTGTCCAAGTAAATTAGGATAACATAAATATTGTACTACAAACTTAAAATATGAAAGGTTTTTGAAAAGTGAAACAAATAGAGTTAATTATTAATAATTTTTCTTGTAGCTATCATAAATTCTTCCAAAATATTTCAATGTATTTCTCTCTATTTCTCTTATTTTTTTCAAAATCAAATGCAGATTTTTTTTCCATAATAGTTGGAACAATTCATACACTGAAGTATTTAGATATAACTATCTATTTCAGTTTCCATAATAAATCAAACAGAGACACATTAATGTAATTTCCTCAAGGATAGCTTTAATGTGAAAAGAACAGGCAGCAGGTTAAAATTAGTTCAGATTCCAAAGAGATACCTCTTTGCTAGCAGGACAACAAAACTGAAGATTTTGGAATACATATTTTCTAGGTTTACTTGAAATAAATTGTAATCACTACAAAAAACAGTCTAACAATGAAAAAAAAAATCAGCAACCACTGAAAGAAAAAAAAATCCTTGCTGATAAATGGAACTGGCAACTCTCAAATAACTGATTAAAATCTTCACGGCCACCTTCAAAAATGTAAGCTGGAGAAATCCGGCGCTTAAGGTAGTGGCAAAGAATCTCTTCAATCGATTAGGGCACATTAAATAAGAGATCAGCAACAAAAATAGCTGGAAGGATAATATCAGTTTACTTCTGGGAGATGTTCCCCGTACTATTTAGAGTACTCAAAGAGACAAAGTTTTTTTTAAGAGTTAGATTTATGCTGTAATTGATATAAAAATCTTTCAGAAAATCAAATGAAGATGCAGTGCTCTAACTTCCTGGCATCATTTAGGTGAGTTGCTCTAAATAAAGGCATACTTCAATTCCTGCGATTAGAGATGGATCACTGGCTTGGGAAAATAGTTTGCGTACTGATCGTGGGATGCAGATAAGTATCAGCTAGAGCGACCCCTACTTTGAACTGCACTGAAAGTCAAGCTAGGCTAGGAATTAAGTGAAGTAGAAAGCATGTTAAGAAAAGAAAAGGAACAAAGAAACAATTCTGTTTTCTCTCCACTTTATTTTAATATGCATTTTATGGATCAGGTCCCTAAAAATAACTGGTTTATCTGAGCTGCCAATGGGATTCTAAAATACCCCATGTTAAAAAACTGCTACTTGTACAATGGAACAGATGTAACATGATTTTGTATACAAGCTCTCATCCCTGCACTTTGAATACTTAAAAAAAAAAGTTTAAATTTCTGGTATATGAGAAGGTTCTTTAACATGGAGAAGAAAATCTGGCAAAAAGCCATTCATGCTTTTAAGAGTAAATATCCATCAAAGCAGTCTAAGCTATAAAATGTTTAATGGTTATAAAGTCTACAGCCCTGTTCTACAGATAGATGATGTTACCAGCATTTGAAAGCAACTAATCTTGGGAAGACATGGGAAATGTGATCAAAAATAGGGAAGGAAAAATTAAACCTTGAAGCTCTTCTTTGAGTTACTATTAATATAGCATAGTCTATTGCCATTAGAAAGTATGATGTTAAAATAAACACAGAATGATAGAGAAAAAAAGTGGCAAAATCACCACCTTATTACAATAAAAAACATTTCTGGTATAAAAAACTGTATGGGCAGTGCTATAATTTACTAAAGAATTAAACCTTGTAAAATATAAAAAGATGCTTTCAGCAACACTTTAAAAGTCATCTACAGCTATTATTACTTAAGTTATTTATAAGCTGCAATGTTACAAATGCATATTTGGTTTGTCAGCCCAACAGCTTGTCTAAAGATCTATAATAACAAAAGTGTTTTATGCCACAGAAGACTTGTTTTCAGAATTCAATGCTAATATTAACACAATCTTAAATCCTGGGTATAGTGTTTTTCATGCCAGACTAATATAATATTATTTTCCATTTTAGCACAGATTTGTGTTTCACAGATATTTTCCAATTAGCATGACAATTTTTTGAGAAGTGTTGTCATATTTTGTCTTCTCTACTCCTTATATTATCCTCCACGATTTTGGTCAGGCAGCTAGAATTTTGCTCATTACTGGAACAGTAACTCTCCCTTTATATATGTCCTTATAAATCAGGTTAAACCACATCTGCACCTTTTAAACATATTAATTCTACTTAATTTCAATAATATGTGTTTCAGCCTCAGATTTAACTCCCAATCTCTTCCTTTTCTGTATCTATATATACTCTATTTTGGAACTGTGCCTAGTGATGACCTATCAAATCCTTAGCAGCTCTTAAATAGCATTTTTTATAAAATGTCACATTTTGCCAGATGGGCTAGGACTGACCAGAGTGAATCATCACCATTTACTCTGCTATTCACTGCCATCTGACATTTATTACATTCCCAGAATGCAAATTGAGGTACTCACCAATGGACCCAAAGCACAACCTTTTGCAGTACATGCCCGAACTCTGAAGGAATGCAGACTCCAAGGAGCAAGTCCATAAGCATAATAACTTAGCTGTGATGAATTCTGCATCAAAATGCCATTCATATACAATCCATAACTATTAATAATACCTATAAAAACAATATTATATTTAACAGCATTCAATTCATATCTGCATTACAACAGGAGCAGAAACAAATAGCTTGAAGCTACAAAAATATGAAGGTACTAATGAACTGTTTTTGTTTTTTTTAAATAACTACTAAAATTTCAAAATCTGTACCAGAAATGCCTGTATGTCTCTGAGATAAAACATATCCTCCATCTTAGAATGCTGAAAGTCTGGCAAGTGGTCTGCATTCATCTTGTAAAAAAATTACTGTGCTCCAAAGAATATACCCTAATAGACATGTTTCTGAACTAAAACAGTCATGGTAATCTTAGAACTGAGAAAGTTGAGGCAATTCTGTTTCACAACCTACTCTGCATGCAAATGCACACATAGATTAAAACAAGGATATGAAGATATATAGTGACTGTTTTAAACCCTACCACCTTCAGACTTAGAGAAAATAGTGATCTACACAGTAAATGCAATACTGAAGGAGGATTAAGTCACCATCCGAGGCCACAAGAACAATCTTTTCAACTATCACATTGACCTTAGCCTTTAGCCAATGGAATATGCAGAGAGAAATACCTACATTTAAATATATATGTATCATACTTAAAGATAAAACCTTTCAAACATTTCTAATAGTCAAAATTTGCAGTCTATATTTTTGTAGAGCTCTATTACATTTGGGATGCATGATAAGCAGACAGCAAATGTATTCTGTCACACTAAATGCTTTAACAAAATTCCTTTTTGTTGCCAGTTTGCAAGTAGATTTTCCATTCACTAACCTCAAATAAACTATTTATCCTCAAATAAATTAATCTGTTCTTTTCTAGACTGTAGTTTTTACATGACTGGTTAAACAGAGCCTACCTTGTACAGTATGGTACCTATGTCGGTCAATTTAATTTTCAGTATGTGATATACAATTGTTTCAGAGTCTCCTGCATGAGTAATATTAACAGGAATGCTATTGGGGTGAAATGGCTGCTGTCTTATTAAAATCAAAGGAATAAAATATGTGCAACAATCTAGAGTGAAACAATATTTTTAGGGGAGGGATAGTGATGGTGGCTGAGTTTTACAGAAGTGTGCTACTTTCATATACAAAATAACCCAAGTCTCCACTTTTCCAAAGGGAATACTAATAGGTCTGGGTGAACCCTGGGTGAAGGTTCACCTGGGTGGGTAAGCTGGAAAATGTGTTTTCATGAACTGAATGAAAATGGTCCCTTGCAGGTTTGCTTAGAGCTTGAAGGTCAACTAACTTGAAACTCGCTCCCAGCTACCATTCCTTCCTTCTCACACGTGGATACATTCCTCTCCTTTTATTAGCTCTTTAAAGTAGAATTCCAAGACTTGCTGAGTATGTGGAGATGTATGTCTGAGAAACACAAACCAGCTCAAAAAAGAATTCCAACTTTCCTACTGGGAAGAAAATCCAAGCACATGTCCAAAACCTCTGGTAATAATGATGTGAGGTTTGCACACAGAGCAAACCTATCAATCTAGTTTGTATATGTTACAAAGCTGTAGACTGAATCTCTTGTACAACAGGGATTCTGATCCTTGAAGTCTGAACACTTTCCTTTAGAAAAAGGGTCATTGCTCCAGATGTGGCAAATATGATGGTGGTGATTAGAACAGAAATCTCAGTGTTTTATGTGTCATACAACGTATTGTTTTGTTTCATATGATCATTTTATATTTCTATGTGAAATTGCAGTTGAGTTATAAATCTCTATGCCTAGTATTCCTGGCAAAAAATTAAAAATAGGGTTTCTGCCCATGCAGCTTATATATTATGGAATTCTCCACATTGTTCCTGAACTAAAACTGTGCTATGCTATTATTTAACAACTTTACATGCTATACTGGCACCTTTTCAAAGAACTGCTGCAGTTTTTATTGGGAAGCTGTGTGGTAATATATCATTCCAAGTCAAATCCTCCCATCTTGGCACTTGGGTTGTACAAGTGCCTCTTCAGCAGATGACTCGGCACTAAAACTGTGCAAAACTCAGCACCTGTGCTAGTCAGAGCTCTGTTTCAAGTTTTTCCAGTGTCAGGTTGCATAGGTTAATACTCCCTGAGTTATTGGTTCAAGGAAAACTCAGCTCCCATCACTTACATTTACTTGATTTCCATCTCACTTAGCCACATTTAAGCCATTATAGGCAGTTTTAATTTAAACTACCCTTTACTGAATGCCGGATCCTGAAATACTTGGCATATTCTTTGCAGGGAAATCTCCTATGGAATCAGAATCTCTCTCTCACCCTAGGATGAGTTTTGGGATGTTAATACCAATTTGCAAAGACAGTCAATGGCTGACAAGTGAATAACTAACATAAATTTAATTCAGTATACAGTGGACACCATTAAAAACAGGTAATTTACCACTGATTGCAACTATATTCCCTTTGGGTGTCTGCAATAATTCCTACTGAACCCACAAAGTAAAAGATCAATATATTTCACATCAATTTTTTTTTTAAATAGCACCTTTTCATTTTGTTTATTATAATTAAGCTATCAATGGACCATAGAAAATAGGTTTCAAAGGTAGGATTTAGTCTAACCTGATGCAGGGTATTTAGTCAAACCTGATGCTCAAGGCAGGACTGTCCCTATGAGCCTATCCCTTAAATCTAACCTGTACTTAAAATCTTCCAGTGACACAGACTCTATAAACCACATGGGAAATCAGTTACCCACCAACATATAGATAGATAGATAGATAGATAGATAGATAGATAATCACAGAATGGTTCACTTTGCAACTATTGAGCAATTTTAGACATGAACCAAATTGTGGGATAATAGTGTTAGAAGCATGAAATGTCTATGAACCTGACTTTCCAAAGTGCTCAGCAGCTGCCACTCCCCTTGATTTCAGTCAGTCCTGCAGGTTCTTGGTACTTCTGAATAATCAGCCCCATAGAAACTTCAAATGATCCTTACAAAGCTATAGTTAAATTTATTTTGAAGTTTTTTTTTAATGTTGCAAACATGTTTGCATATGCCGACGGTGGCAGAGCTCCACTCATATATAGGCTACGCTTGAGGGTTCAATTAAAGAGTGAAAACAGGCTTCATATTGTTGAATAATCGCAACGCATTTATTCTTTCTTCAAAACTGAATTGTTTGAACTTACACTGAAAAGATTCTGTTTGAAACAGAAATGATTTTGCCTCAACCAAATGCGAAAATAATTCATAAATAAAAGTGAATAGAAATGGAGTTTCTGCTAAACTTTGAAGCAATGTATTTCACAGGTACATACACTGAAGTGATTCAGAGATGTGTATATTAAATTTGATTCCCTAAACTATCTCCGTGAAAAGTTAGAGCCTGCACTCAAAACGGGGGCAGGCATCATATGGACCACCCCCATCTCCACGCGTGCATGCACGTGTGAGTGCACACGCACGCAAACATACAGCATTTGAGAACTACATTCCAACTAATCATGCTGCATCTTGACCTGCTTCCTAAGGTACAATGTTCCCAGGATTCCATATCAGGCTCACCTATCAAGAGAATGTTAAAGCATTTCAGTATGTGACCTAAAAAAATAGATAAATAAACTTAAACATGTTCAATTTACTTCAAAAGAATGATGTTTTAATTTAAACTGGTCAGGGCAGCCTTAAATATGAACATTGGCATTTGGGGTGTGTTACACAGGAAAAAAAAGGAAACACTTTAAGTACTTATTTCAATAGCATGAAACACTCTAAAATAATGGATTAATCATTATTAATTCCTTTGGTATTTATTGTAATAGCATTAATCATGATGAACTCATTTCGTATTAATGTAGGTGTCATAAATACCTCTATAGGATCCCTGCTGTAACTCAGCATTAATTAACTGGACCATTATTTTAAAGTGTTCCTGCAATAACAGCATTGTGGAGCATATACACTACATGTAGCAGCTTGCCAATATGCATTGTGAACTTTTGATACTTCTCCGAGTACTGTCAGAAAACAACTGTCTCTTTAATAAGCCAATTTATTATCTCCCAATTTTAACGTTCACAGTTAAATAAGTACTTCTGTCTGGCATGAGAAACCTAACTCTCTGCAAAGGAAAAAAGTGAATTTGAGAATGGAAAAAGATATGGTTTAGTGGTCTGAATATGAGATATGGGATCAGAAACTTGAGCTCTTATTTTAAATCAGACCATAATTCCCCTTGTGGAAAAATAACTTAACCTCTCTGTTTCCCCAGCCATCTTTGTGAAATTGTAGTAATAACTGCTTACCTCTCTCACAGTGGTGTTGAGAGAATCAGTTAGTGAACATCTGTAACACACACTCAGTAAAGGTTAAAGAATAGTCAATGAGTTTACCTACTCCTCAAGAGTTCTCTGCAAAGATGACTGGCCCAGAAATAGTTAAAAATGATAATAGGGTTTGGGGGTTTTGTGCATTTTATCATTTGAGACCTGATGAAGAATGCTTTGTCCAACTCTATCCCAGATACACAGTGGGTGTATCCCACTACACAAGACATTTACTGCAGTTGACTAATTAGCTGCACAATACACATCTTGGTGTCTACATGTGCACCCCTAATTTACTCCACAGAAGGATAGTACTTGTAAATAAAAGTACTACCCTGCAGCAGAGTAAAAAACTGCTCCAGCCGAGCTCCATGTGCTGCACCTGAATAAACTGTGGAGTTTATTGCTCTGGAGTTAATTGTTCCTGAGTTCATGCATGTTCAAATGATGCACCCAGGAGCAATTGACCCTAGGGCAATAAGCTCCACAGTTTATTCAAGTGCCGTGATTACATGTGTAGATGCACCCACTTGGTCCAAAAAGATATCACCCTAAAAAATCTTTGCCTCTCACATAATTTCTGGACAATCACAACATCACTCCTACATTATCAACACACATACACTGTCACATATTGTGACAGGCTGCTGACTAAGTTCAGAAACTGTACAAGGCCACTGAGGATACTATCGTATGACTCGGTGATCACGCAGACACTG